CAAAGCTAAAATCAATAACCAGCTGACAAAAACTGACAACAAGATTTTTTTATATCTAAGCAGCCTCGTAGGCTAGATATTAGGGCATCGCGGATCCTTCGGTATGAAAAAAGAAGAAGCATTCTTAATCCGATTTTTGAACTACCCTCAGGTAGATGCTTCCACAATCTCGAATCAATAGCGACAAAGGAGAGGCCGTATCGGCCAGTTCTGGATTAAGAAGTTCGACAAGGTTAAGCTGGGAGACAGAAGTCAGGCGGGTCTGTCTGGCAGGCATTTCGCGCGGCGGCCTTATGGAGGAAAGTTTTGAGAAGCAAAGTTCGTTGACATAGCGGTAGAATAAAGCTAGATCGCCGACGGCCTGTCGGTGCGAGAGAGTCTCAACACTGTCCGGTGATCTGGACTCCGACCAGCCGTCCATCGAAGGCGAATGAGCGCTGCTTGATAGTCAAGGTACAGTACTGTGTTTTTGAAGCGCTAAGCTGTACCAGATTGTTGTCTTCCCAGGCAGTTATAAAGTTCAGGTCTCTCATCAGAGAGGAAGTCGCTGCTAGTTTTCTTTTCTCCAGCTCACCGCCAGGGATGGGCTTGACACTCTGAATTCCTGTACGTAGAGTGCTGCCATCAGCAAAGCTCTGGATCGGATTGATCGTACAGGAAAGGTCGTTGATATGTAAGAGGAAGAATGTTGGAGCCAAGGCCAATCCCTGGGAAACACCCGCGCTGACATTGTGGCATGAAGAGGATAACGCGTCCATCACTACCGATATCTTGGGGTCAGAGAGAAAGTCATCCACCAATTTGCAAAGTTTTTCTGAGAGGACATAGAGTGGAACTTTGCACAAGGGACTAGCATGCCACAGCTGATCGAAAACTTTCGTGATATCTGGGGAAATGTTAGGAGTATCACCATGAGACTGAATGAGGTTACTCGGCAGTTGCGTGACGTAAGCTAGAAGATATCCCGTAGATTGTTGGTGCCGAAAACCATACTGACTGATGCTCACTAACCCGTGACGTCCAAGGTACTCCAGAATTTCTCGATTTATGTTCTTCCTAGCACCTTATTTATACAAAAGCATAGGACTGCAGTTGTACAAGTCATCTTAGATATTTTTTTATGATGGGCTGGATATGAGCAAATTTCTTGTTTTCTGAGGAAATGATGGATTCGTAAGATATATGGAAGAGACGCGAAAGAACCGGAGCAAGCTCTGCTGCACATCTCTTCAGTACAGCGGCAGGAATCAAGACGACTTTTTTATTTGAAATGTTCCTCTTGAATATACAAGTCTTTATCAGATTCAAGATTTGCGAAACTATATATATATATATAGATCACATGGAAACCTATCATACGAACAGAAAGCGGCTGTTTCACGATCCCAAATGAGCCCCTTCGACGAACAAATAAACGTTGATAGCACACCATACGTTGGGGAAAACGTAGTAGGAAATGTAATAGGTCGAAAATTGATACTGATGAGAAAAGTTTAATGGGTTTGTGAACTAACGCGGAAAAGATGAGAAACTACTCCTGACCGATAGCTTTTTGGGGCAGAGATTTTTATATTTCCTTTTTCGCTACTCCATATCACGAAATAGAGTTATTTATTAGTTTATTTTCTACCATTCGCTAAATTAACCAAACTTTCTGCTGCAATAGACTTAGTTTTTCTAATGAAAAAATATGTTTTAAAGGCAGAAAGCTTATCTAAGATGAAACATTGTAGTGCATTTACTACTTGACTATTACGCTTTCAAGGTTTTCGTAAAAATGTAGTTCATTACATATTATAAAAGTAAAACAGGTCTCCGATAATAAAAGTTGTCATCAGAGAGGAACCAGTGTTTCTCTACTAAAATGGGTTGTGAAATTACATACTTACTTAATCCGTTCCTTTTCTACCGGATCTAGCCAGTGTAGAAGTTGATATCTTTCTACACTTCTCTTATTTTCTTTCTCCATTTTGTTGTGTCTTTAGGTAGTGCTTCTGCTCTTTTCCAGTCCAAATGCATTTGTCTTAAGTACAACTGTATTTCGTCATTCCACTTTCTTTATGGTCTTCCTTTCGACTTTTTCTTGAATTGTCCCATTCTCCAGACCCTTCGTCATGTATTTGGCATTCTAATCATGTGTCCAAACCACCTTAGCGCATTCACTTGTATTCTTCGTTCTGCAAATATGACACCTATAATTTTCTTCTTATTTCTACATTTCTGACTTTGTCCATAATCTTCAGACCCGCAATTCTTCTTAGCAGTTTCATTTCACTAGCTTGTATTTTCTGTCTCTGTCTTTCACTCAAAATCCACAGTACGGATATACAGTGAGTTGAAAATTCTTATTTTTGTTTTTGTAGATATTTTTTTTTGTTAAATAGGTGTTTATTTAGTTGGAAGTATAATCTTGTAGTATTCTATCTTCTATTTCTGCCTCGACCTTTCCGTCCTCTGTTACCTTTATTCCTAAATATTTAAACTGCGTTATTCATTGCATTATTTGTCGTTCTAATTGGGTTTCTATGTTTTGTGGGTCTTTATAAATACTCAAACATTTTGTTTTGTTCATATTTATTTTCAGTTTATATTTTCTTAGTTCCTCATTCCATACCTCAAGAATGTACCTTCTTTTTGTTTGCTAACAGTACTAGGTCATCAGTTGGTTAATATTTACCCTCTTCATTTTATAGTATCTCCACTTTGTTTTCTTGATTCTGTTCCCACAATCTTTTATAATTTTATCCATAAGTACTGTGAACAGATATCGGCCCAAATTTTTCAGATTTTTATTTTTTGTTTTTACATAGTTGTCGGTATTCTTTTACAGGCTGTGTACATTTTCTAGTAAAATTTTGTTCACATTATAGTTGCTCAGTATACTCAAAGGTCCATTCTATCCACAGAATCAAATGATTTTGATATATGTATGTATGATATATTGTTTCGTTATTATCTACTATTCTTTCTATGAGTTGTTTCATTATAAATATTGCATCCGTTGTTCCTCTCGCTTCCCTGAATCCATGTTGAACTTAGTCCAGGTTGCGCTCGATTGCCTCTTTAGCCTTTCGGTTAGTATGCTCTCATAAACTTTTTCGGGTATACTTAATAGGGAAATGCCTCTGTAGTTCTCACATACCTTTATATCTCCGTTTTTAAATAATGGTAGTAGCATTGCTAGCTCCCAGTCTTTCGGTATTTTGTTCTTCTCTGCTACTTTATGCAACAGCTATAAAAATGTCTCCCATATACTTTACCATCTCTGCTGTTATGCCGTCGTATCCCGGGACTTTCCCTACTTTAAGTTTCCTTACGGCATTTTCTAATTCTTCCTGGGTAGTAGGATTTGTTATAGTGTCACTAATTGACCCAATATCTTGTATTAACTCCTCCCTTACGCGATTTTCTATATTTTCTTCCCCTCCTAATAACTCCCGAAAATATCCCCTCCATCGTTCCATGATTTTTTCGTCCTGTGTTACTAGATGTCCGTTTTTATCATCAATATAGTCCACTTCATTGTTATTTTTTCGTCTTATACTTTTCAAGACTCTGTAGAATAATTTTTGATTCCCATTAAAGTTTTCCTCCATTTTTTCTCCAAATTTCTGCCATGAGCTTGTTTTAGCGTTCATCACCTTCAGCTTTACTTTTTACGAAGGTTTTCTATATTCCTCGTACGGTTCGACGGTTTGTTGTATGTTTTCCACGCATTCTTCTTCATTTTTACGGCATTTTTTGTATCATCTTTCCACCACGCGGTTTGCTATCTTCTCTTCCGTTGTTCCACACACCTCTTCTGCGCTACTCAATATACATGTCTTTTAGGTGATGTTCAAGCTTTATCTTAAACGGTTTTGGAATATTGCTTGTGTATAATTTTCCCTTAGTTTGTACGTTTAAATTTTGCGCTGGATTTCTTTTCGGTGTTTCCTGTTCTCTTTATTATTTTCTTGCACGATATTTAATTTTGCTTCTAGGAGATAATGGTCACTTCTTATTTCAAAGCCTCTTTTGACTCTTTATTTTAGACATTAGTATGTTCATTTCTACTTTTGAGTACTCGGGTATACTTGTGAATATCTCTATGTTGAAATTTGGTGTTACCTATTTTATCAACTCATTCTCCATACAAAATTCTAGTAGTCTTCTTCCGGTGTCATTTAATGTTGTTTCTCCGTGTTTTTCTATCATTGGAGCATATCTACCTACATCTTTCCCAGCTCTTGCATTCATGTCCCCTACAATTATTAGATATCTCATTTGTTGAACTGTCCACTGTTTCCTGTAACATGGTGTAAAATATTTCCTTATTTTCTTTTTTGTCATCTTCGTTTGGGCCTTATGCCGCTTTACAATCTAATTCCACGTTTCCTTCAATTCGGATTCTTATTTTTAGTATTCTTGAGATTATGTATTCCCATCTGTTTATCTTCTCGTTCCAATCTTTGTGAATGAGTCGAGCAACTTCTTCCTCAGCTCCTTTTGTGTCTGTTACTCCACTGTATATCAGCAAGTGATCCGTTATTAACGTGTTACCTTGTCCTTTCATGTTTGTTTCGGTTACTCCTAATAGCTTTGTTGTTTCAAATTCCATTATTAATTCTTCTTCTTTTTCTGTGAGACTCCATGTTCCTACGCAAATCATTTTACCTTATCGCCTTTGGATATATTTTCTTGATTTTTTCTTTACTTATATCTACCTTACGTTCCGTATCCGTATCCTTGCTGCCTTGATTTTTGGTTTTTTAATATTTTTTTGCTATTCTGCTCCATGTTCTGCTGATGTTAGTTGACTGAAAGTTCTTGTCCATATTTTCGGCTATCTACGTATGACCATGACTTGTTATTTCCAATTTCTTCTATTACCTAAAGGTGGAAAAATGGAAAATTTCGGTGATGGGATGGAAAAACTTTTCGCAATTATTTCCACGTAGCCTGCACATGTTCCGAGAAGTGTGAGTTAATTTATACTATCTACGTGTGACCCTGATTTGTTATTTTGAATTTTTCTCATTAGCAAAATCTGGAAAAACGAACATTTCTGTTGAAAAATCGAAGTGATAAGGTGGAAAAACGGTTTGTGATTATTTCCACGTAGCCTGGACAGGTATACAAAAGTATGAACAAATGCGAGCTACGTTCTACGTTCATGTAATTCTGACTTATTTTCAATTTTACTAATTGACCAAAGGTGGAAAAATGAAAACTTCTGGTGGAAGATTGAATAAATATGATGGAAAAACGATTTAACAAGTTGAGAGAGGTTTGAGTTAATTGACCCTGAAAAATGATTTCACATTTATTTTGTTACTCAAAGGTGGAAAAACAAAAAAATTGGTTGGTAAAACATAGAGCTCATTTTTATAAAATCTAACTAATTCGGGGATAATTTCATAATACATGTCCTTCGTAGTTTTTTGAAGTTTTTCTCGTAACTCAACGGTGAAAAAATAAAAATGCTTGGTGGAAAAATGTGGTAAAACGATGAAGAAACGATGCGTATTGATCGATTCAAATAATCTGGAAAATCTGGGTTACGTGTACTTAGCCCAGAGTTTTTATTTCTATTTTTTTTAACCAATGTTAGAAAACCGGAAATGTTTGATGGAAAAACATGATAAAACGATGGAAAATCGTATGGCACATCGTTTTTTAACAGCCCAGATTTTTCTGGCCCAACTTCACGGACCTCTTCTTCGCGATAAGGACAATATTAATATCAATTGATTTATAGAGGTGTACCGAGAAGGTTACAGACAACGCACACGAAAGCACTTATATTATAACCGATATACAAAACTGAAGGTAAATCGGAAACCACACAACCAAAACAAATATTTTAGTGTTACCAAAGTAGGCACACCTAACACAAAACCATGTCTCGACAATTTTTTTTTATTTGTCTTCCGGTGCAAGATATTGCAATTAACATTTTGCAAGCATTTTTTCATGTCTATAGGGCTTTCAAGACCTAACCTTCCATAGAGATTACTAAGTCCTCTCCAATCCCAGTAAAATTAAAATTAGAATGGATTCGCTATAGCAAATTGTCCTACGTAAGGTACAATATTTTTCAATTTCAAATTCCACTAGAGTGCATAAGCAACACACAGATGTTCGAGGCCTATATTTTATGGCATCCCTAGAGATTCGCGTACCTGCATTACAGTATCATCTCTCCTCCGTTTCCTTCATGGAACGACTGCAACCGTTCAAGGTGGGTACGTATTGTCTAATTAGCCACCGTTGCAACTAAAACCAGGATCATGCTGATATTCTACTTTTCTTCTTATACAGTGCTGTCACCTCCACTTATTTTTTGAACAGGTCATTTTTGAAAGCTAAAATTTGGGATAATGAAATTGATGCATAAATGCTATATTTAAGCGTAAAGGTGGCAGTTGGAAGCTTCATAATGGTGGTTGTGCGCAATTTTGGATTATTTTTTCAAACGAAATGAGGGGTCGTGTGATGCATCGTTTTCAAGTTTCTCGTGAGAACTTTACGTTTATGGATTATAAAATCATAACTGTCCAAAATGGCGACATGAAAGTTTTTCGACATTGAATCACATATTAGCCAACACCCAATCATTAAAATGCTATAGAATGTCATATGAATCTTCTTTTCCTGGAAGCGTCCATTCTAATCCACGGGAAATCTCGAAACTTGAGAAACTACAGACCAAAATATGTGAATTGACCTAAACATATCTAAGTCCAAAAGTTGATAGTTTTAGAGATACAGGGTGTCAAAGTTACAATTTTATTTTCTATTTTTCCTTATTGCCTGACAAGTATTTCAGATTTTGGCATAAAACTTGGTATAGGGAGGTTTTATAGTATGAGAAACAAGAATCCGTTGTTTTTTGTGGCCAAACTTTTAGAGGGGGCCAACTTACAGCACTATTTCGGTAAAAGCTTATCATAACTTTTTGTGCTACCCTGTATACAACGACTGATCGAAAAATCCTATTTTCTCGTATTTACACAACAAAAAAGGTTCACTTGCTAGAAGTGTCTAAAGCTAACAGTTTTCGAGATATTTGTTTTTAAATGTTGCAATGCATTATTTGTATCATGATGATGAAACATTTTTATAACATAATAATCAAGTTGCTTTGGATCTGAGTAGCGGTGCTACTAGTTGGAAGTCTAGGTCCGCTCTAGCAGGTTATCATCAATTTTATGATTATCGTATAATGTGGGATGTAGTTCTCTAGTAAATGTCATAACCTTGAATTTTGAAATATTAATATTACGTTGATTGTTAGAGCACCATGAGTAGATAAAGTTCACTCAGATTTGCAACAGAATGCAGTCATTGAGATTATTAATAACAGTATACCACTTCAAATAGTCAGCATAAAAGTAGATGCATGCATGGCAAAGACAGCGATAAATCATTGATGGAGATTATGTACAACAAAGGTCCTAAATTGGACCCCTGTGGTACACCAGAAGTCTTGGATTGATAGCCGCCATATTCCACGAACATGCTCCTTTCCAGGATATATGACTAACAAGTAATCATATATTTGATCAAAGGCCTTTTGAAAGTCAGTGTATATGACATCCAGTTGACCCTCATCATCCAAAACCTCAGGGATGTCTTGCGTTAAACAAGTCAAGTTTGTGACTGTTGACCTCCCAGATATGATTGTCATGAATAGAACCTCTCACAGAGCCATACAAGACATCGTACATTAGGATCTCAAAAATCTGGATAAAGGTACAAAGTATTGCTATTTGCCTATAGTTACAGATATCGCTGACATCACCATTTTTGAAAATCATTTTCCAGATCGAGGAACATGTACGTGTATTGAAAACCGCACGCAGAGGTTTGGCCAATATATAAATACAACCTTTTACTATGAAACGGGGAACACCATCAAATCATAAAGTCTTTTTGTTTTTTAGTTTCCTAGAAACGCGAATAATATCATCTTCACTATTACTGTTCAATGTAATAATTGAGCTAGCGGGATTTGTTGTTGTAGATGCATCAGATTTTGTAAAAACTGTTGGAAAGTATTCTGCATCTCCCTAGGCGAGCTATATTGGCTGTCCTTATATATAATATTTCCTGGGAATCTGGAATTTGTCCTTTTAGCATTAACAAATGACTAAAATTTTGTAGGATCTTGGCGAATTTTATCCACAGCATCCTGAATATAAGCTGAATATGCATCTGTGATTTGATTCTTAATCTCAGCACGGAGCTGTTTTAATTTCTGATGGAGATGGTTGGCATTGGTTGCTTTGATTTTTTCCTTAGTCTGTCCTTAAGACTTAAATTTGGAGGATGTGAGTGAGATTGAGGAAAAGTGTATATGACCACGTGCAACTTTTACTACTAACTAATCGAGTAATAAAGCTGGATAATGATCCTCTTTAGCAGGCGGTAAGTCCTTGGTACAACGTCATTAAAGTTGGCTAAAACTAAGTCCAGCACCAGTGCATTATCATTTACTGCATCATTGCACTTTTGAAGCTGTAAAAAAGAGCAGGCTTAGAATTTGATTCGTACGGTCATTTTTATCAACTTCAAACGCAGGGATATTGAAGCCACCAATTAGAAGGATTGTACATCAAGGTTCAAAAGCTTGAACAAATGATTCCGGATCATCCAAATAATATTCAAACTCGGTTGTCGTTACAGTTAAAAATGGTGGAATGTACAAGGTAAAGACAACAAGAACAGAGTTATGAAAAGCGATTTAACGGCAACCCTGTCAATAAATGGGGAAGCTTCATCAAATATATGGACATTCAGACTTGTTACGTTGTACGTTTTACAGGAATCAACGATCCGCGACCTGTAGACAACTGGGTTGGTTCAAAATTTTCAGTCAGACATCTGATTTAATACTTACGTATGGAGTTTAAAAATTTGCAGGTCTTGAAGTTTAACCCCCCTCACATTTTGTCTAAAGAAAATGTGATAACGATTTTATGGTACTTCTTCCGTAAATGTTAGAAATAACATGAAAAGCTTTTTCATAATCCAAACTAAGGAGTGATGCAGTTTATCTAAAACTCTATTTTAGTCCTAGATAGCTTTTTATGTAATTTTGATGTAATAAGTGTTGATGTACCTTTGCATGTCAGAGCCCACGGAGCAATGCATTATGCCACTTAAACGACTTGACGTCACCTCTTACTTGAGCATCTTGTACACCTTCTACCTTATTTTCACTACAAAAGCTCGCCAGAGTTTCAAATTCCATTAGAATGCATAAAGCCCGAGGCCTATATTTTATGGCATCTCCAGAGATAAGCGCACCTGCATTACAGTCTCCATCTCTCCTCAATTTTCTTTATAGAACGACTGCAACCATTCGAGGAGGGTGCATATTGTGTTTGGCCGCCGTTGCTACTAAAACCAGAATAATGCTGAACCGGAGAAATTAGTTGTTGAATTAAGGGACGGTGGAATTCAATTTCGCCTTGGTAGTACTTACTAGTCCAAGGAAATAAGATCGTCAAACAAATAATTTTGGAGGCGATGATTCTGCATATAACGAGAGTGATAATTCAGGTTCCGTTTCCTGTACACAAAGTGCGGAGGTTATACCTTTAAATACCGCTAAATCTCAGAAACAAATCTACCATAAGTGTATGTCTCAAGAATTCTATTCCAACTATATATCACTAGCTTGACTCGAAAAGGTCTGTTTTTTCTATGTATAATAGTTATCAGAATATGTCCTTCAAAGTTCAAACGAAAATGTCCACGCCAAAAGTGTGCTTTCGGAAATAAGTTCTGTCATAACGCTTTTCAACGGCGTCTCCCTAGAATATGACTTTACTCCAGCTATGGAGATTAAGCTTCCTTCAGGAGTGAGAAAAATCACTTTTATTTCTGTCGTTGACTGTTCGACATGAAATGTAACATAACCATCTATATCGGAATGAAAAACCAACATCGGATTCTATTCACTGTCTTTTTCCACGGGAAATACAGAGGGTTCAACATAGTGCAAAAATGAGGAAAAATCCTTGGAAAATACATATAAAAATAATCTGATTCAACTATCGAGGATGCAATTTTGTGCTATTCCGAAAAAACTCTGTGAATAATGTTATTTGGTATATCTAGGATGGGTTTTAATCTACGTCAAAAAAAATACTCCATAGATTCTTAGCAGACTTTTAGAAGTTCCTAGAAATCGACTAGTAAAAGCAAAAAAAATTTCGGAAAGTCAACAACATTTGTTCTTTCTATAAGTCTAAAAATAGCTAGAAAATTTCGTTGAACATATTGTTCAATCGTCTAATAATTTATTTGCGTAGGCAAAGATTTTTTAGATTGATTTTGTTTTTGAAGTTTCTGCGATGTCAAAAATATTATAAATACTGTTGCAAAGATTTATATTGATCTTGTGGAATTTCATGATATATTCAGGTATTAATTTGTATGTACGAGGAAAGACAGATAACATGACTTCTCTGGAATTATGCCACGTTTTTTTGCATGCTCTTCCTTTACATCATTTATGTGCTCATAACCTCATCTACGACAGGAAGTCGTATCGTCTTTAATACATGATGATAAATTGAATTTTTCATGGCGCAGTGTATTGATCCGCTTAACAATAAAATTTTATGATGGTAAGCAACTAAACGAGAAGCATGTTTTTGTTATGGCCATACAACGTTTCTGCCGAATAATCTTCCGCAATACGTTCTTAATCTCTCATGTTCACGTATAAAACAAACAATGTATAATGTTGAAAGAATTGTAGATCCTAAAAATTGGTAGTCTTAAGTGCTTTGGGTTTGCCAGCAAAAATGGACTAACGTTAGTGTGTTTCTCTCTTACTTATAACTTCTAGGGTTTAATGTATGTGTATAGTGGAGCTGAGGTTTGATTAGTCCGATTTAGGAGCGGCTAAAGATTTTAGTTAAGATACAATAAAGCCTCAAGTTCGGACTTCAAACCACATTTGTCTGGGAGGCATATTCTTCTCTAAGATTTCGATAAACTGTATTCCTGAACGCCAATGGAATAGGTGCTCCCAGAATCATTCTCAGGAGAAAAAGTACAAAGGTCTAGCAGTTGTCCATCAGTCTCGTTTCTAAAGACAAAGTTAACGTTGTGAGAAAACGTTTAATGATGTGAAAAACCTAAAAACCTAATATTTTGCCGAAAATAGATGCATCGACAAATTTATTTGATAAACATCAAAACAAACGTCAGAAGCTACAAGAAAAGAGAATAATAATAGCTAGTAGGAAGTGTTCTATTACCATTTTAAGAATTTAGTCTCAGGTCAAGTCTAGAAGTGACAACTGTGTAAGATTATTCACCCTCCTACTATTTATACTCGATAAAATAATACAATATTAATTATATAACAGCTTGGATTTTGATTTTTGCCGCAGTTGTGAGTCGCCCAACACTCGGGTGTATGGCATCATGGGACATGTTATACTGGAATTGGTGCCTTGTGATTTTTTTTAAGCAACTCACCAGTGCTTTTTCTATTGTCAAAGTTTATGCTCATTTGATCGCTTATAACTCAACAACAAATCAACTTGTGTTGGAAGGGTCTATCTGCATGTACAATAGAATTGACACAAACCGTTTTGAAAAAATTGCGTCAAGTAAGTTGGCTCTGACCTTCCCACGCAACGCCTTATGTTCCGCACAAACTTGAACCTCTAAAAAAAAAGTCATAGCCATAGACATTCTTACCCTATCGGTAGCGCATCTGGAAATGTATCCTGTCATCGATGCTTAACTCGGTCAGATATGACACCGTGGCAGCGCGGTCACTATGCTGTAGCGCGGCGGAAATATGTGTGGTACCATACCAGAACACTCACCAAAGCCTCGACCGGTAGGTACGCGATCCGACTAGCGATAATATTTTACTGTTTTAAGGGCTAACTTACAGAGAAATCTACAGGTGCGTAGCATTACCAGTGTTGGGAGCGTATAAGTGTGATAATGTCAAAAAATTGAGATGAACAATCTCCATCCCCCTACAACTCCCTCTCTCAAGTTCCTTACCTCTATTTTTTTAGGTTTTAGGACTTTTTCGTTACTGGCACTGGACCGATTTTCAGATACCACAAAGCTTTTGCGTCCTTGCCATCGTAGTAACATTGTGTGAAAATGTCATCGAAATCCGAGCGCTACTTCTCAATTACCTAAATGCGCAACTTTTGTGAGTCGAGTTTGAGATACCCGATATGTTGTGATGATAAGCGTGATCTAGACGTAGGGGGTAATATGAATATGTTAAAGTCAGAAATGAATACTCACTTAAATGGCTATATTTATTTTATTATACGATAATGTGTACAAGAAGTTACAATATTAAAAACTTAAAAGGGCACTCCCCTTCTACCACACTGCTTCAGGTCCAATAACAGTACAAAAAATTCAAAGACTACATACTGGGTATAATCGGTTATCACAGCTAGGGTACAACGTATAAAAGTTCTCGTTGAAAAGGAGTGTCTTTTCATACGTACATGCATAGATAAATTGTATAACTGGAATGTTATACATATTAACACACATATCTTATCATATCGGGAATCGTGAGCTTTGTATGGAATACTTAGTCACTTCATTTCAATCTCAGCTCATCAATAAGAGGCTCATCCATTTGTGCAGGAGGCCTGGTAAAGAATTAGATGGCATTTTTACGCGGCAGTGATTTTTGGCATTTCCCAAAAGTGTATAGGTAGTTGAAATATGAGCTATTTAGCTGGATTTGACATGAACTGACTATAGCTGAAGCCACACTGCCAAGTTAAATATCGCTGTTAGTGTCGATAAAAAATTAGCCAAGCAAAACTATTTCCATATGAAAAAAACATCTGATGATCATCGATATTTATGCTTTGTGACATTAGCTTGGAACTATGTCATACTCATTGTCAATCATACAAATCGATAGGTTTTACACATTAAAAAATTAACTGTAACGGAGAATTTCCAGGACATGCAACATTATGGTGGATGATAAAAATCTAGCAAAAAGTATTAATAAAACAAGAATAGTAAACTGCATTCTTTCTTATACACCACTACACGCCAAAATGCGATAATATAGTCTTATGATTGCGCATGATAACATCTTAAATTGGTACTACCATGTACTTCCCTGGACTGTTACAGAAACAGTTCAAAATCAGCTTAAAATATTTGCAAATCATTTACGGTCTACAAATAATGATGCATGTTTTTACAGACAGATAAGACAATCTATTCTACACGAATTGCCGAATTACAATGCGACAAAAATTGGTGTTCTGCATAAGAATCACAATATTTGTTTTACTCAGTGCAATTATTTTACATTAAATAGATACAACCACCCAAAAAATGCTGATTATTAACAAAGAATAATGTATTAGATATTAGATCATTATCTTAGACCTTAACATTATTCTCTGCTCCTTTTATTCTTAGCTAGTTTTCAAATAATCTGTTGCCACTACATAAAATATCACATATTAATATAAACATGTCTA